CCGTTAAAATATATACCCAGCAAACGTAAAGTACTCGGACTCATGAGGACCTAACGTTCGCATCGTGTATAAGATATATCATGAGTACTTAACGTTCTCCTCGTGTATATATATATATATATATATATATATATATATATATATATATAAGTAGGATTGCATAGGCCTATATAATACAACATACATATATAATATATAGCCTACATATACAGCGATGCATATATACATATACAATACAAAATATATAAAATATTGGGAGTTATTGACATTAAGCTCAAAAAGTTATTAGGCCTATTTTGTTATGGAGCCAAAATCACAAATTAAAGAATAAACAAATTTAAAATACTGTTACTAAAACACTCAAATGAAAGAGATGAAGAGAGAAGGAAAGTAATAGAGGGCATTCCATTCACACCACGATGTGAGTCATAGTAAAAAGGTTCTAGCATGTGGGATACTCGTCAAAATTGCGGTACTTTCAAATATGATGGCCAAAATATGAAAAGACAGGCCAAAATAATGATTATGGCAAAACTGAGATAAAGTAGACTGTGTTTTAGTACTTATAATGACTTATAGCCTAACATTATATTAATATTGCCCCCCCCCCAATATTCTATATTTACCACACTGGTATGTGCAGCCATCTGAAGCCACACACAGTGCCGGATTTACCAGTAGGCCAACTAGGCCGTGGCCTAGGGCTGCAAGCAAAAGAGCAAATGCTTGACAATTTCTTTTTTCAGAGAAAAAAAATTTTTTTTTTTAATTATAAAATTGCTGAGATCGCGGGAGACAATAATGATGTCCCCAAAATTGCGGCCCACGGGAGATATTCATGATTTTGCCACTGTGGCGGGTGACGCTGATAATATTGCCGTGATTTCGGCTCACGGGAGGCGTTCATAATTTTGACGCTGTGGCGGGTGACGCTGATAATATTGCCGTGATTTCGGCTCACGGGAGTTGTTCATGATTTTACCGCGGTCGTGGGTGTCGATGATGATTTCTTCGTGATTGCCCACGGGGGATGTTCACGATTTTTTTCTGCAATCGCCAGGAATTTCCCCCATTGGGATGGAGCCACTCGATCAATTTGGCTTAGGGCCGCAGGTACCCTAAATTTGGCACTGGCCACACACCATGTATCTTTCGAGTACTGTCAGAGGTGTTGACACACATTATACCGTATACTGTCATAACACACAAAAGCAGCATGCAATCGTCCTAAGAGAGGGTTGGATTTAACAGAGAAGTTTGGATAATGAATTAAAGATTGAATTGAAAAACTTTAGACCACTAATTTTTTACAAGTGGTTCTTGGCCAATGTTATCTCTAACATGTTTACAAACTTCAAACCCTGTGACCAATGATGTCCACAAGTCTGTATTGAAAAATGTCAATCAAACAGTCCCCATCATCTGACCTAGCTCTCCCAGAGGGGAGGTAACTGCCCGGTGTCAGACCCGGCACTTCAGGTAGACCACAGTTATGGACGACTGGTAAGCGCCAGCCCCTTAGGGGGAGCCTCCAGTGACATTCCCTCCATTCAGGGTGGGGGGGGTGTTTAGCTCTCAGTGACGCCGTTAATTCCGCCTCTCCTCATCTACCTGTAACTGTGGTTGTGACTGAGTCCTACCTGTTGTGTTCGACTGACATTTTGTGAGGCATATCCTCGACTTTGGAAGTAGCCTCGTCCTGGGAGGTGAAATACCTAGCCCCCAGAGGGGAGGTAAATGCTCCGTGTTGGTATCGGCATTTTCAAGTTGGCCACAGACATGGTCGACTGGGCATCGGGTCCCAGTGACATTCCTTTATCCAGGATGGAGGGGTGTTTAGCTCTAGGAGAGATGGAAGTACATCATAATCTCTAACCTACCTGTGTCTGTGGTTCTTTGGGCTTCGGCCTGCTTGTTGTGTGCGACCAGCATTCAGTGGGCAAATCCTCGACTTTGGAAGTAACCTTTCCTGGAGGTGAAAACGGGCAAGTACCCGCAGCTCACGGGGACACTCAAGGGCAACGTAACTTTCCGCAGTGTGAGGGCAACGGTTTGTAGGTACTTATGCAAACCTATCCCTGTCTCTGAGCACGGACGGTATGGTTATCTTGAGTGTGGGGGGTTCTTCCCGGAACCTCAATTGAGTCAAGGGTGTCGCCACCTCTGGTGGATAGGTTCATCCGGGTGGGTCCCACTTCTATACCTGCCTCCTTTTGGGAAACCCTGATGGCCTGGCAGTGATGTTGTGTCTGACGGGCAAACGAAGTAGATCGGGTGCTGGGTCCGAGCCCGCCAGGGGTATCTGGGGATCTATCGCTCTGGATATCTCTGGTTCCCAGCAATGGGTCAGGCCTCGATCGGGCAGCGGTGTAAATGGGAGGTTGGGGTTCCCCCCGTCAGCGTGCTGATGGTCCCCTTCCTCCTGGCTATTGATGGCGGGTTCTGCCTGTCAGGGATGAGATAGGTCCCGAGTGTTGCTTGCACTAAATGCGTCGGGGCGCTCTACTATGGACCTCTAGGTTCCGACCTAGTGGAACCCAGGTGGAGTGACGCTTAAACAAGCAGCCGGAATCCCTGGTTAGGATTGAGGGGCAACCCTCTTTCCGAAGGGTCTGCTTCGGCAGCCGGCGAGCCTGATGACCTTAAGTCATCCGCCCATGATGTGCTAAAGGTTGATGCGTAAGCTTCGGCCTACATCATGGGGCCCGGGTATGTCCTGAAGGATAGGTACCGGGTAAGCAGTCGGGGGCTTCGGCTCTCATGACAACAATGTAAAATGTAAAATGTAAAGTCCCCATCATCTGTTTGTCGAACATTGTAAATTATGATTATAATAAAAAGTAGAGATAGGGATGACTGGATTTTCAGTTCTGGATAACATTTTTATTTTCTTCTGAATTTTGACATTTAGAGTAAATTTTTATTTTGTAACTTTTGCAGTAGGCATCAATGCGTAATGTTTTTATTGTAAAAAAAAAAAAAAAAAAAAAAAACTAATTGAAACTTGTTCATTTAAACCCTTCAAATCTTAGAACTAGTTTCCCTAGGTCTCCTTCTCCTTAAAAAGTTCCATAAGTTGTAACAGCAATTTTTTATTTAAAAAGTCATATATTATTTTGACTGGTTATAACTTTAAAGTATATTTGTTTTTTCAAGTATGCATTTTGTAGTACCGGTAATCAATAATACTAACAGGCACTCTTTTGAGGAATCACAGAGATTTTTAGAATTTGTGTCTGATTCTTGTGACAGATAGATAGAAACTAAGTTAAAAGGTTGTGTTGTTTCTGTCTCGTATAACTCTAGTTCTTACTATTTGGGATGAAATCACTTTATGATAACTTAGAAAGGTCAATAAATGAACTGACTTTCATTCTTGAGATTAGGATTTTTTTCTTTCAGTTATTCAAATTTTCTTCTAAGCTCACTTAAAAATATAACCTATCTGTCAATTGCCTCCAAGAATTACTTAAATATTTTTAATGTTACAAGTTTTGGGATTTAACTTGTTTGGAATGCTATAAAATATTAGTGAAACACTGTTACATATTACACTCTACTGGGTAAAAAACTTTCACCACGTTAATACTTATGATAATTATATGGTAGTTTCCAGACACAAAAACTATTATGTTATTGTGTTCTTTAGGTTTAGTGACCTTGAATCTAAATAATTTAAAACCAATTTTGCCGACTCTTTTTACTAGTTGCAATGGCTGTTTTTGAGAGGGAATAGTTTAGGTTATATTAATTACCTAACCTAGAGAGGTGACTTTTGCTATTAACTACTTATTGCTATCATTCAAGTTTCTCGGCTGTATATTTATTATAGTGTTTAAAAACCTACAATGTTTGGGTTTGTTGCTTCGCTAGCCAAGTGCTTAGTATAGACTTTTTGCAAGAGTGGCCCGTTTACTTAGTTTACTTCATCATATTTATTGTACCTCGTAGACTCTTTTAAATAACCTTTTTTACAAATTTACAAGATTTTAAATACCCCTTTCTATATAATAATAGCTAAGCATTAAACAGTAAATGTTCAGGTCATTGCTCTTTTAATTAGAGAGCAGTTTGTACAGTGAAAAGCTTTAAAGATAACATTTATCTTGTTTGAGCTAGAGTGACTGGCAGGATTTTATCTGTGAAAGCCACTCGACAAAATAAACCTCAACGTCATTTGAAATTGCTTAATAAATACTCGACTTATAAATGAATCTTATGTGATTGTTTTTTACAAATCTCAGCTTGAGTGCTAAAGACAATACATGATTATAGAGTTATCTTTCTAAAACTGTATGGTTAAGTTTATGAGGTTACAAAAGCTACCAAAGTCAACAATGGTCAACTAAATATTTGGTTGGGAAAATTAATTCAGGCGTGTCGTAATTCAAGTGCTTATCTCTGTAAAAAAGCTGTGTTAAAAATCATCTACCACTCCTTTACAGAATGTCAAATTGGCTACGTAATCAAAATTTATGTTAACAGCACAAACAAATTTGAATAAGATGTTTAACTACAAAACAGGCCACTAGAGTTATTGAAAAATATATGGAAGTCGGTAAAACAATATACTTAAACGAAATGGACATTTTTACAGAGTATAGTTTGTAAATGTTTTAAACTACTCAACATGCTTATAAAGATAAAAACACTGAAGTATCCCATAAATACAATACCATGTGAGAAAATCTTACTGTAAAAAGTCATCATCGGCTAGAACTTTCAAAAATGAAGCCTTCGTATTTCTATTTCGGCAATTTATTCATATGAAGTTTGCCTGCCTTACAAACAAAACAAAAATAATAGCTTTGACTTAAATCATGTATATGAACTGTATAAAATGAATAAAGATAAATTGAATTGATTTGATGGTTTTGTGGGCTTCAACCTTATTGTTAATAAAAAAAAATGCTGTTGTTAAAAAGGCTAAATCAGTGAAGCGTTATAAATAAATTCTACTCTAATATTGTTCTTTTGATGTAATTCTGATTTGTTTACAGGGCCTATGTGAACAAGCTGGGAGGAAAAACTGGTTTTACGATGTTTGGAGGTCAAGTTGCAAGGTTTGTACATGTTTAAAGCCAAATAAGAATGTCAATATAGCATGTTGTTGGTTATCTATTGAATTACATACTAGCTGTTACCCACGGGCTTCGCCCCGTTTGACTTTATAAGTATTAATAAAACATAAAACTATTGATTGCTTAAGTTAAACTGAAATAAACAAAATACAGTAAAACAATAGTTATTTGTGTAACTAGTGGTGAAAGTGGCACTTTGCTGCACACGAGAGCAATGTTTACAAGAGCAATGATCTCGAGTGCAGCAAAGGCCTTTTTCACTCGTGTTACACATTATATTTTTCCTACAGTCACTATAAAGCATATAAATAATTAGTCTTTCAAACACTATACAACACGTTTTTAGGTTCAGCTGGCAACACAAATGGTGCCCTAGAGAAAGTAGTACCCGCGGTCCGTATCACTCCGCTATTTTTCCTCGGCAAGAAATGTGCTCCGCGTTTTGAGAATATAGTTCCGTATGTTTTTGTAATTTGAAGTGGTTTCCGTGCCTAAAAAAATTCTATAAAGGTATTTTCTTGTTTATTAAGATCGTAGGAATGTTTTAAAAACGTTTAAAAGAAAAGTCCAGAAAGTTTAGAAATACCGAAACTATAAACACGAAATGACAGGTTAAATCGTAGTTATAATAGTCAATCAGCTGCTCATAGTATTATTATCTTTAAGTGTTGCCAACCTATTTCCAAGCGTACACGGATTACGTGCATAATAGAACCACGCTGTTTTGTGTTGTTTCGTTGGAATCCTGATGTGCGGCAAAGTATAAACCGTACGACAAAGTATAAACCGTACGGCAAAGTATAAATATGCAGCAATTAGCAGCTTTCTGTACTATAAACAGTACAAGGAAGCCAACTTTGTCGGGTGACTGTAGGAAAACAAATAATCACACCTGATTTTAATAAGGTAATAAATTGAAAGAATAACAAACATATAAGTACAGCTGAGGTATTTTTAACATTAGGTATATGGAAAGTTCCCTTTAGAAAGGAATTACAACCTTAAAGGGCAATTTATGAAATAATGGATAGTTTTGCGCAAGGTTTCTCGTCATGACGAACATTTTAAGTATATGGTTTATGCGGGTGTGTGTTTTCTTCTTTTGGCTTTATATATAGATCAGTACATCATAAAATGGTAGGACTAAAGCCACATTTACATGAGGTAAGTAGAGGAGGCAGGTTAAAACGTTCATTGTGGCATACATGAAACAGGCGCTCGTCAATGGTGGCGAGGCCCGGACGAAGCCCCAGCGTGCAACCGAATCAGCGAACGCAATTGGCTTTCAAATATTTCAGTCTGACGAATCCCAAAAAAAAGAGAGAAATCCCCGAAACCGGAAAAAAAGCATTGCCAGATTTTACAGGAAATTTTAATACCAACCTACACCAAAATAAAGCTCCCATTCTAAGGTACAGGCTAGCAGCGATTATAACATTCCGCGTCAAAAGCTGAGCTCACACTGACTGTTCAAAGTTAAATCATGGGAACAGCCGATTAAGACCGCGCAGCACCTGGCATGAAGCCGGCACCGGCCGAATTCAACCGCTCCGCAGCAAACGTGTTAAGGGTCAGGTTACTTGCCTCTAATGTTTTTAAAATTAAAATCACCAGAGTCAAGTAACCTACCTGCCAACTGGCCTCGCCCAAACGCGGCTATATTGTAAATGGCTGTATTTGACTTATAATTAAGATACATCTGTATTTTACATAAAAACATATGAACCTTCCAGAAATATATAAGATAAAAAAGTAAATTTACTCTGCAAGCAAACAGAGCAAGATTGATTTGCCTGTTTTTATCTGTCCAACTAAATGTGATATGTTTGCAGGGTAGTGGAGAGCAAACACCCAGAATACAAGGTTGGCAGCATCGTAGTAGGTCAGCTCGGCTGGCAGCTATTCACGGTTGGCAATCCTGAAGAGATCACTACCGTTTTTGGTGCCAAGGAAAAGCCTATGGTGTTGCCCGACCTGGGTGGCCTGTCCCCCTCCCTAGCCCTAGGAGTTCTGGGCATGCCTGGGTATGTTACATTCATCAGAAGAAGTGAAAGTTTGATTAATTTCTGAAATAAATTCAGTTTTTTAGAGCCTACTACAGGATGTTTGCACAAGGTCAACACTAACTGCTTAATCCAGTCAGCTTTAATCCAAACTCAAACATATTTTTGTCAAATAAATTGTGAGATGGCACTCTTGGGAGAATTTTTGTAAAAAGAGTCCTGTCAGGTTCTTTTGGAAGGGAAATGACTAACATACTTAAATTGTTGAACGTTGGTACCTGAGTAGATCTTAGTTGAGTTGATATCTTGAGTTCTGGGTTGCTCTCCTTGTAATAAGATTGTTGCTGGCTCAAACCCTTAATAGTCAATAGCTTTTTGATGATTAAAAGGTGTGGATGTATATTACCACTAGGCCTTTGATAAAAGGTCCTGGCTAAGGAAACAACTGACTTCATCAGCAACAAATCTATCTGGCCTATTCAACACTCGTCTTTGCCTACAAAAAATACACTGTCTGGTGTGCCGGCTTGGCTTCGTATCTTATCTAAGGTGTTTTCCTTTCATCCTGAAGTCCTCTTGACGTCTCCCCAGTTCTCTTTTGGTCTTCCAACTCCTCTTTTTCCATCAATGTGTTAGGCTAAATTTTCCACTCCTCCGTCCCTTTTATGTGTCCAATCCACACTAGTCTTCTCTTTATTCCAATTTGCAAACCCAAGGTGATGTTGAGATATAGTTTGTATGTTTCAGAAACACTGCCTACTTTGGGTTCCTTGAGATATGCAAGCCTGTAGCGGGAGAGACAGTAGTAGTTAGCGGAGCTGCTGGGGCTGTGGGCAGTCTAGTGGGACAGATCGCTAAAATAAAAGGTCAACACAATATTACAAAACTACTCTGGTAAATAGGTGTTAACAGACAAGAGGCGATTGATATCTGTACGGTAAACACATTTTGGATGAGTGTCATGCAATATTTTTGGCCATAAATTATGGAAATAGCAAATACATCTCTGTATTCAACAAATTCTAAAGTCTATCCAAATCAGAATATTTCAGTCACTAATATTTTTGAAAATGATGTTTACTTTACCATCTGAATCAACCAAGATATTTCCCATTCTGGAACCTTAAAGCCTACTTTTCATCAATCAATTGGCTGTTGCAAAGCTTGCATATTTGGCAGTTACAAACAACTCAGTATTTTTGGAAACAGTTTCTTGATTTTATCTTTTTCTTTTAGGTTGTCGAGTGATTGGCATCGCTGGATCCGATGATAAGGTTGCTTGGCTCAAAGACGAGCTCAAGTTCGACGGGGCTATCAACTACAAAACACAAAACATCTCTGCAGAACTCAAAAAGCTGGCACCAAAAGGAGTTGATTGCTACTTTGATAATGTATATTTTATTTAGATTTTAGATTTTTTTATTGCATCCTAGATATTCATAAATTGAACACAATTTTGTTATTTTGAACTATAAAAATAATCAGAAGGGAAGTTAAAAAATTTGCGTCGAACATGCTGCACAGTTAACAAGTCGAGAATCTCAAACAAAACACTTCTGCAATTTTTTTATTTGGCCTACCATAATCGCGCAAACCAGCTATAGCGAGGACTACTTGTACACATAGATATAGCCAACAGAAAAGTCTAGTGGTAGGTAATGCAATTATTGTTGTTATTAGGTGGGAGGAGACATCAGCTCACAAGTTCTATACCAGATGAACAAATACGGCAGAATCTCCGTCTGCGGAGCCATCTCTGTTTACAACAACGACTTCAGCAACCTCGCCAAAGGTGATTAGAGAAGTTCTGGGAAGCAGGCGTAGTGGTTAGAGTACGTACACACTCACAGGCGTAGCAGTACGTGCACACGCTGAATATTAAAGCAACAAATAGAATGGAGATGATCTGTGTCGCTTTGTTACTTACTGAAATCAGCTGTTTTATTAGCTAGGATCAGTTATTAAAAAGCGTTATGAACAAGGATTAATTAACAAGTGGACCCAGTTTCCAACCAAAAAGCCATCAAAGAGCTACTGACTTTTCTCATGATTAACCTCAGGATGAATAAACATTCACAAAAGTTTTTTTGTTGGTTACACTAATAATCTGCGAAAATGACCAAACCAGTCAGTCATCATTTACCTAGGAATCTTTTATTTCAAGTGGGGTGAGGTAAAAAATGTTGACCATCATCTCTTAGGCCATAATCAAGTTGCTTTGGAAGTATTCATACAAAAAATATTAATAATGGTCATTCTACAATCAGTTTTTGTAAAAAATTTTACATTTTTATTACTGAACATTAACATCTCCTGCGGAAAAATTATTATTGCGGAGACAACATTATTGTCTCCAGCAATCGCGACAAGTTATGAACATCTCTCATAATCGCAGTAAAATCGTGAATTTTAATCTTCGAGCTTTTGAACTGGGCTATCAACCTAGAAGTTTTAAGGACTTCAAAACCGCACAGCTTTCCAAATGTGAGATGCCAAGCACTGTAATTCTATTGCTGATTCCACCGGTGGAATATTTCAGTAAGTGGTTCCTTATGTGTTACACACTTTTATTACCGAGTTTTACATTTAACCACTATGTTACAGCACCAGTCATACAGACAGCCATGGTGATGAATGAGTTGAAAATGGAAGGTTTTATCGTAATGCGCTGGGCACATCGCTGGATGGAAGGAGTTCTTCAGAATCTGAAATGGGTCAAAGAGGTTGGTCATTGAGTGTTTGCATGTTAGTTACTTTTGCATGTGTGTGTTACAGCCCCTGTGGTTCAGACTGCGATGGTATTGAATGAGCTGAAAATGGAGGGTTTTGTAGTACTCAGATGGGCCGACCGGTTCATGGCCGGCATCCTACAGAATCTAAAATGGGTGCAGGAGGTTTGTATACGATTTAAAATGTTAAATTTTTTCAAGAATTTTTTGTGGTTGACGTTTTATAAAGGTTTTTAAGGGTACGGTCAACAAAAACAAAAACCCAACTAAAAATTTTCTTTTCCCAATTAATGATTCAGTCTCAGCTTAGCCACCTTATAAGCGCAAAACGTCTGCAGTGTATTAGTGACGACACGGTTGACGCCAATAAACACCACCATGAACACACTAATGATTTGCCACTGGTCTTAAATTTATATTTCTTAGATTAGAATCGAATCAGTTTCTTTAAAAGTTTGAAGACAAGGAATACTACTTAGATACAAATACCAAACGTTAGAAATTGTTTGTAGAAGGATTATTATTTAGGCAACTTACTAATTAGCTGTCTTAACTCCATAGTTGTTAGCTCAAAATCGTCGTCATAAAGCAATATTCAAAATTCTAACTGAAGCGCTAAGTTACTAAAAAAATAAAAGAACCGTATAGACAGATGTTATGTGTAGGCACAGTATCAAGGTGGATAAAATTTCGAGTAGCCCTTGGCTTTTTAATGTTTTTTGTAAGAAACAAACCAAACCCCGGTCTTGTTACTATCGTCTGCAAGCAAGATAGGATCCTCAATTAGCACCTATGATAAATAAATTTTATCAACTAATACCTGGGTATCCAAACCGTTTTGTAACAAATAGATGGCAACTTGGTCCAGAATCAAAGCTCTTGGAAAGCTCATTTTAACTAGCAACCTTCAAGTTGGTGAGCACTAGGCCTATAACCTTATTTTTAGGTGTTGTTTGTGTAAAAATCAATTTCAGTTTTTCAAAAATAAATTATTGTTTGTTTTCAGGGTGAATTGAAGTACAAAGAGACGGTGACCGAAGGTTTTAAAAAAATGCCTGAAGCCTTCATCGGCATGCTGAGAGGAGAAAATGTTGGCAAAGCAGTGGTAAAGGCCTAAGAGTTTGTTAAAGATACTATAAGTGGAGTTCAAAGAGCCTTATAATACTGAAAAAGAGGCATAATACAGGAAACACAAAAATATGTAAATGTTAGAGAAATTGATTGTCAACACACAATGCTGCAATCAACTATTTAACTGCACATCCAACAACCAACACATAATATGTTACATATTTGCCACTAGAGTTTTACGTCTGTCTATAGTTGGTATAACTGTTCTATATACATCCTCACCATGTTCCTCTGCTATGCATATTGTCAATGCTTACATTTTGATACACTAATCATACATTTTATTTGTACCCTGTAATATGTTATTTACAGTTACGTTATACACATTGTGGTATTCTACTCAAGACTGAAAATGTTTAGGTGTAGTTTTTATTTTATTCAATTTTATGCTTGTTATATTATAAACTAAAAGCTTTTGTTAAAATGTTTATGTAAAATAAAATATATTTTTGAATCGAGATTTTTTTTGTTTGATCCTGAGATTTAAACCATTATGGTTCAAACTGGGCCCAACTGTCTTTGATCATTAGGCTTTTAATAAATTAATCATCTGACTCCATTCTACGCTCATCTTGCATTCAGACTAAAAGACGCATCCAAGCGTTGTTTCAAAGAATTGATAAATGATCATTTTACTCACCTGGTTTCATAGATTTTAAAGAAATTTAGATTGGAAAACACTTCAAGACATTCTTCATCAAAGATTTTTATCAGGGCTACAACAAAAGCTAAGTTTTTAAGTTTTTTCATCCACCAAACTTATATACTTACAACACTTACTTACTTAGTGTAACATTATATTCTTAATAAAAACAAAGAGAATTGAACAGCACAGAAGTCAACTCATGGTTTCTACAAACTGCCTCTAAAAGGATAAATTGTGACATAATTTCAGTGAAGGAGCTAAATAAGTTATTACATCGCCATTATGTGTTACACTATTCGGCTCGCCATAAAATGTGCAGGGACAAAATAAATTATAAAAATAGTTTTGTCTCACCACAATCAGTCATACCTCCCCCCCCAGCCCTTTGTGCAAGCCAAATCAACGTATTTGAGATGTCCGTAAAAATATTACCCCCGATTAAGATATGACCTGTTAAAAATACATAGGGACAAAATTTTACAGCAATTTTCACTGAAATGACAGGTTTCCACAAAAAAAAAAAAACTCAAAGTCAAGTTAAGTCAACTCTTTGGGACCAGTGTACATATTCTTGTTGCAATGTTTTAAGAAATAATTTCTAACAAAGATACTTTCTAAATCTGCATCCATGTAATCAAGAAGGCAGTTGAAACAATGCCTTTGATATAGTTCCCTTCTTGAGTGTTTGGATAGCTTCTTTGTACTCCACCAAAGAGTATATTTTTATTCCAAGGGTGTCAAAGTCCAAATACCTGTAAAGATTAAAAGGGATTACAAATTAAAAGTATTAAGTGTTAAAAGGGTAAAAGATTAGTGGCTATGACATTACCTTAGATAATGTACTCATATCACACTACACATTTATGTAGAAGGGGAAAACTAAAACAAGAGTGCATTTATAAAGTATCAAATTTCATCAAATAAACTAACCTTGTCAGACCAAACACAACTCCTTAGAGCTCCTTAATATTAATGCTGATTGATAGCTTAAAGCCTTCTTTTGAATTAGGTTAGTTAGGCCAGTTAACAATACTTTTACTTTTGGTGTTTTTTTACGCCATTTGTAATATTTTACCTTTGTAAGGGTTCGACCCATAAAATACCAAACAACTGTAGTTGATTTATGTTAAAATTGTGGATGTGTTATCTTCCATTAAAACTTCTTTCTTATTGTAATAGGCATGATTCGTTAAAAAAAAGAGGAAAAACTAGCTGCGGCCCTTTTCTGCTAAATATATAATTCATGATTTTGATTTTGCAATAATAAGAAGTTTTACTAATCTGATTATTCTTACCTTGAGCCCATAGCTTCGATCAATTTTAGAGCGTTTCCAAAACTGAATAAGTTAGTGACGACTCCGTAAATGGTTGTTTCCTTCCTGAACATTTCAAAAGGATGGACCCTGCAACAAATCATAATATAATTTTAAAATTAGTTTTTGATTTGTTAGCGAGAATTAATCTAAATAAACTGTCATAATGTTATTATATACTGATTAAATAGTTAACCATTATCTGATTGAAACCTGGGTGGCGTTACTCAAAAGTAATGATAAAATGTTCTAACCAGCGTTGGTAACTTACGTGATTGTAGTATCAGGAGAAGCCACCCCGAAGATACAAAGTTTGCCACCGGGGCGGAGCAGAGGTAAGGCGTCTTGCATGGCTCGTCCACTGCCACTACAATCTACACATACGTCTACGCCCCAATGTGGCTCCGATGACTTGAGAGAGAGGATTTGGTCTGGACTGTAGCACGGGTAACCTGTGTCTGTAATAGATTACAATATTCTGACAACTGTACTGGAATTATTCCATGAATGTGTCGTATAAGTGTGTGTTTATGGCAGATATTTTAGTTAGAAAAAGATCTAGATCGCCTTGGACTTTGAAAACCGTAGTATTTCCTCCATGGATGGGTTACAAGACAACATCTACTTGAGTAATATTTCATGATCTTTGAAACATCCTGATGACTACGGCGATTCTTGATTAGTTCCTGTAACTCATAATTATCATCTATTCCTTGACGGCAGCAATATTGTTGTTTGTTCTTGCTATATCAGCATTTTTGTTTCGACACTCACGGTAAGATAAGGATCTAAAGTGATTTTGTCAACATGATCAATTCAGCAATCACTACAAAATCATAGCTCTTCACAATTTTTACAGAAAAAAATAACTACCAGATAATAACCACTTGTGATGACATTAAAACATTCACAAATGTAACTTTCCTTGTATCAGTCACTATTTCTCTAACCACTTACTGAGTTTCGAGTTTAGAGCCCTCCTGTCAGCCACAGGTTCGCAGACGATGACATCTCGGTAGCCGAGGTGATGGAAGGCTGCCGTCCACAGGTTACCTATGATACCAGCTCCCAATATCAGTATCCTGGAAGCGACGGACACAGGAGCGATGCGATCTAGACCATGGACTACGCAGGATAGCGGCTCACACAGGATGGCTGCAATTCGGTTTTTAAAATGAAAGAAAATGTTGAAAATTGAATTAGTTTGAAATATGGAGATTTCTAATAAGAAAGGAATGACATATTGAAGACCGTTAAACGGCTTTCCAAAATTTTTCTGATTTATGAATTCAAATACTTAACTGTATGAACTTTTAACATTTGTTATCACAAAACTTCCTCGAATTCGACATAAATAAAAACTGATCTAACTTTGTGGCAATGGAACTAACCTTTCTGTAATCTGTCTTAGCTTCTCTTACCTAAATGGAATGGTAGGTTGTCTGGAATCTTGTGAGCTTGTCTGGCCGGGACTTTACAATACTGGGCCCATCCTCCATCAGTGAAGATACCAATGAGAGAGTCTATACCTCCAGAGACACACAGGTTGTATTGACCTCTCCTGCAGAACTCACAAACACTGCATCCTCTACACAGAACATCACACGAGTTGGAACAATCTATCACAAAAACATAGGCTACACAAAGAGTAGCTCAAAATACTTGTAAATATACTTTTAAGATGTGAGAGTTGTCTGTTGATAAAAGTCTCTATTGCGTTCTAATCCAACCCAAGCAAGCTGGTTCAAATCTAATACCAACATTGTGTTACTTATCCACTATCATTGTAGCTAGTTTCTACCCCTAAAGAAAATTTAGTCTCGTAATAGTATTTGAAAAAATTGTAAAATACTGGCGCTTACACCGATAATTGTAAATCGTGTTCTGTGATTAGATGTCTTTAGTCTGAGTCGTCAAACATTATTAAGTCCTTTAATTCGGGTGTAGTTTTCGGCAGGAGACAATAATGAGGCTGTTTTGTGGGGGCTGCTTAGGAGGCTGCAGTTGATGCTGGTTTTGGTGGAAAACACTCAAGAGCCGTTTTTTGGTGGGAGACAATGAGGAGGCTGCAGTTTTGGTGGGAGATGCTAAGATAGGTGTAATTTTGGCAGGAGACACTGGAGGAATTAAACTTTTGGAGTCAGATTTGAACTGGAATTGCGCTTGGCTGCAATTTAAGGTTGATGTTGATGGAGACCTTAAATTATAGACCGTCATCCTTGTACTTGTCTCTTATTTCTTATACAATTGAATTCTTCAAACAAGAAAATTGATTCAGTTGATACTTATATTTAAACTATTTCTCATGATGATATGATTCATTACTACTTTAAGCACAAAAGGCCAATGTATCAGCCATTGAGAATGATATATCCAAATCATAACTTAAAACTAAATTGAGCAAAATTGAGCAAAACTGAACCAAACTTTCATGACAAATGAGTTAAGAATGACTATGTTTGAACTAAATGTAGTTCACCAGGCACATCTTATCATATCTTAGCTCAACTTAGCATAGCTATTATATTATGTCTGAATGGCCAACAGGAGCCAGCATTGTAGGTCATGGATATAATCCTATCCTGGGTTAACAGTGACCTATTTTTACGGTCCTGCTTATTTACCAGTTCATAAAATGTACTGCTAGTTTCTTTATATGCAAAGAACAAAGAGTAACAAACTAAGGCTAAAGTTACCTATTAGGATCTATAACCACCCTGTCTCCAGTGTTAACGTGTGTTACATCATTCCCCTTCAAGCAAACCACTCCGCAGAACTCATGGCCGAGAGTAAAAGGTTTTTGCATACATGGAAATGAACCCTGGAAGCAGAAATCTCATTGGTTGAAACATGTAACTCCCAGTGAAATCATAACATTTTACTTCAAGAATACTATTTTATATTTAGGAGTTTTGAATCACGATTTGCCATAGGTACTAAGCCCTTGCTACCACTAATATCATTTGATGATCAAATTATTATCTAAAATTTTTTCATGTATTTGAGTTTTTGTAAGTGTTTATGTCAACTGTTCACAACCCCAGGGATGAAGAGGGCATTAAAATTTTTATTTTATGTTCACCCTTGAAAATGACCCTTTTAGGTACAAAACCATAATTAATTGGTCTGCTTAGTGCTAATATAACAAGATCAGATGACATTACTACTACAGGTGTTTGACCTTCAGATATACTTACGTCAAGAATATGAAGATCGGAGCCGCAAATTCCCGCGTAGACAATTTTAACAAGAACTTCATCTCTGTCAACATCGCTTGGGATTACCCTCTTCGTTAAAGAAAGCACTTTTGTGCTTGGATCAAAAAGTAAAGCATCCATTTAAGTATTTTGTCCTTGACTAACCTGCGTTGGAAAAAGCAAAACATGTATTTAAGTTCTTCCCCGTTAAGTAACCTAAGTAGTAATGACAATTTA